ATACTCACCAGTATAAATGATTTAAGAATTCTCGTTAAAATTAGGACTCAATTCAGTCCATTTATCAATCTTTATTTCATCAACTCCATTATCATATGATCCACCACCACTAAAGAAATAATTTAGAAATTTTTACATTGATCTAAACTATTTTTCATTTTAGCTCTTATACTTAGTTTCCCATTTTCCAGCTTTTGATCCATTTTAATACTCACCAGTATAAATGATTTAAGAATTATCGTTAAAATGAGGACTCAATTCAATCCATTTATCAATCTTTTTTTCATCAACTCCATTATCATATGATCCACCACCACTAAAGAAATAATTTAGAAATTTTTACATTGATATAAACTATTTTTCATTTTAGCTCTTATACTTAATTTCCCAATTTCCAGCTTTTATTCCATTTTTATAAAAACCAGTATAAATTATTTAAGAATTCTCGTTAAAGTGAGGACTCAATTCAGTCCATTTATCAATCTTTATTTCATCAACTCCATTATCATATAATCCACCACCACTAAAGAAATAATTTAGAAATTTTTACATTGATCTAAACTATTTTTCATTTTAGCTCTTATACTTAGTTTCCCATAATCCAGCTTTTAATCCATTTTTATATAGACCAGTATAAATGATTTAAGAATTATCGTTAAAATGAGGACTCAATTCAGTCCATTTATCAATCTTTATTTCATCAACTCCATTATCATATGATCCACCACCACTAAAGAAATAATTTAGAAATTTTTACATTGATCTAAACTATTTTTCATTTTAGCTCTTATACTTAATTTGCCATTTTCCAGCTTTTATAATTATGTTATAATTAGTTTTCAAGTATTAGAATTTAGTTATTCTTGATGCTAATGATGAATAATTTTTTTGCAACAGTGAAATATGAATGATTTCTGATTTCTCTAATAATAATTTATATTTTTAGATGCCATTAAATGTTATTATGGATTATGTTAATGCAATACTGTTATTAATCTAATTTATAGCCGATATTGAAAAGCTGGACATTAATATTTCTATAAAGATGCTATGTAGAATAATATTTTTTATTATTGTAATATATCTAAGAGATTTAAGGGATTATTCTTAGGTTGAACTAATACTATATGTTATTATATGGTTATTATTCCATCTATATATTTAAAGTTTTTAACAATAATATTTTTCTAAAAGTGAATCCAAAATATTAAATTGAGAAAAAAAAAATTTAATTACATATAAATTGTAATTAATAATAGGAAAATCCTATTTTGGTATTACTTATAACTCTACCATAGAGATATTAACTTTAGTATTTTTTTCAATTCAACTTTTTTTTTATTTTTGTGAATTAATATATATCTAATTCATTTGAACTACACATAAAAATGATTACAATAAAATAGAGGATATAAACAAATCTGTTTTGGATTTTTCTTAGGAGCTTTGGGGTTATTATATTTCTATCAATTCTGTCTCTATATATTAAGACGAATTACAGAAATCCTAATTTTGGTCAAATGTAGCACTTTTAACTAATGGAGGAAAAATTATCCACCACCACTAAATCATTTATAATTAATTATACATTATTTAAAATGTTTTACATTCGCCTTTCTTATACTAAATATCCCATCTACCAGCTTTTCGACCATTTAAATATTAACCAATAAATATTATTTATGAATCCCAATTAAACCTTTTACACAATTCAATCCATTAACCAACCTTTTTTTCTTCAATTCCAATATCATAAGTTCCACCACCACTAAATAAATTATACAAATAATTTTTACATGGATTTAAATTATTCTTCATCTTAATTTTTATATTTAATATCCCATTTACCAATTTTAATTCCATTTTTATATTAACCAATATATATGATTTATGAATTTTACTTAAAGTATTCATTTATTTCGATCCATTTACCTATTTTTATTTCATCACCTCCATTATCATATGATCCACCACCACTAAAGTAATATTTCACATAACTGTTACATTGGTTTAAATTATTTTTCATTTTAGTACTTATACTTAATTTCCCATTTTCCAACTTTTCTTCCATTTTAATATAGACCAGTATAAATGATTTAGAAGTTTTCTTTAAAATGAGGACTCAACTCAATCCAGTTGCCTATTTTTATTTCATTAATTCCATTATCATATGATCCACCACCACTAAAAAAATTATACTTATAATATACATTGGCTTAAAATAATTTTCAACTGGATTCTTATATTTAATATCCCATTTACCAACTTTTTTGTTATTCAGATATTCACCATTATCAAAGACTTAATGTCTACAATTAAAATTATGACTCAATTCCATCCAGTTTCCAATTTTTGTACCTTCTCCATTCTAATCATATTAACCACCTCCACTATTGGTATAAATTAGTTTATTACATTTATCTATTATTCCATTTAAAAGTCCAATTACCAACTCTGTTATTTTCTTTATAATAACCTTCTTCAATTATATTTTTTTCACTTAAAATTTTTATTTATAATATTACTCCCAATAGTTTTCACATAAATCACTCCATTTTCCTACCTTTTTACCAAACAAATTGTACGATCCGCCTCCAACTTTTTTTCCTTTCCAAAAATAGTTCCATAATTTTATTTTAAATCCATTAATTCCATACTATCCTTTGAAATCTAAATGTTTAATTTATTCTAAATTATCAAATTTTGTTTCATCTTTTTATCCTGAAATTATTTTTTCTCTAAATTATTTTTGAATAGAAATGATACCTTCTAAGGATCTATTGTTTTTATTTATAAATTTTATCTCCATTTAGATTTGTTGTGATATTAAAATCTGTTAGCTTAAATTTATTTTTGAATTTTGAAAATCCTTTCATTTGAACGATAGTTTCTCTTTTTTCTTAATTAGTACTAAATTCTATTAAAAATTTTACAAATCACTCTAAATTTTGTCAAACATATGACATGCAGTGTACATTTTTTTATTGCACTTTCCAAAGCTTCTTCTCCTTTTTAGATTTCAGTAGACACAATTTATTTTCGTTTAACCCATGTCTCAAAAATATTTTCCTGTAAAAAATTTACTAAATTTCCTAATTCATTTTAAGTGCACTATAGAAGATTAAAATCTTATTTATTTAGCATTTGAAATATCTCATCTCCTGTTTTATAGGTATTTGAAATATTATTAATAGATTCTTTCATATTTTTTTATATCATAGCTATTTCTACTTCATATTCATCAAATTACTATAAGACTTTTTTCAACTGAGATTAATAATCATGTTATTTCAATTAATTGTTCATTCTTAAGTTATAAGATTTCTCAAAAATTTGTTTTTGAAAATCTTCAATTGATATTATTTAACCAGCAGGTATTTGATATTCAATAATACATTTCTCACATATCATTTGCTGATATTTTTGATTATACTTGGCTATGCAAATTCCTCTAATCAAATGATCTAGATGTTTTTAACAATACTTAGAATTGTTAATCATTAAAAAAATTTAATAGAAAAAGATTTTTTTTTTTTGCTTATAAGAAGATAAAATAGAATAACCCCATTACGTCATTAATAAAATATGGGAATCATTTGATGATCAAAAAATTAGTTGAAATCAAACAGAGAAGATTGAAAAAGAAGTTTAAATTTTGCTGAATTTTACAGCTTTTTTTTTTTTATATAAAAAACAAAATATCTAAGAAATATTTTATATTATTCTTTAAATTAAAACTGTTTAATTTCTTTTTTATATAATGGTCTAAAGATTAATTCGAGATATTGTTTCTTCCATATTTATAGGAATTAAAGTTTTTTGATTTTGCTTTAGGCATACTTCAATTTTAGTTTATATTGAGAAATTAATATCATACTGAAAATCATGTTACAACTTTTTTTCCATTGATTATAATAATATCTTCTCTCTTAATGATCAAAGAAAAAAACTATTCAATGTGAATTAGAATTAGATCCATAACAAGTTTTTTCTTCTAATTTTGCTTATTTCAAGTCTTTTAAAGTTTAAATGAATTTCCTATTTAATTATTAGATGAGAATTATTGGATGACAGCTAATATAATTAAATTTTGTTTCTTTATCATTTATTATTAATAAAAATTGCATAATCATTTTGAAATAAGCTGAAGCTGATTTTGATGTTGAATTCTTTTTAATATAAGAAATGAGATAGAAATTTAAAATCTATTAATCAACATTCCATTTATATAAGAAATACAAAAATATATGTTAAACTGTTAATAATGATATTTTAAATATAATTATCAAGAATATAGCAATAAATATGAAACTATTTTTTGAGTAAACAGGAAACTCAAAAATAACAATAAATAATGAAATAGAGAAAAATGAATTTTTCAATACCATTAAAATTATGAAAAATATATATTTATGAATTTAATTGAATGTTGGAAATATTTCAATACTATAGTATAACAATTAATACTATTAATTGTTATAAGTATATTGATTAATTTCTCTTTTAATTAAAACCAAAAATATAAATTATAATTTAGATTGGATTTATATAAAATATAAACTAATTCTCTTCTAATTTATATAGACAATATTTAAATATTGATTATTTTTATATTGTGAGTAAGAAAAGTAAATATAAATCTTTTTAATGATGTTCATCATTAGAAATTATGTTATAATTAGTTTTCAAGTATTAGAATTTAGTTATTCTTGATGCTAATGATGAATAATTTTTTTGCAACAGTGAAATATGAATGATTTCTGATTTCTCTAATAATAATTTATATTTTTAGATGCCATTAAATGTTATTATGGATTATGTTAATGCAATACTGTTATTAATCTAATTTATAGCCGATATTGAAAAGCTGGACATTAATATTTCTATAAAGATGCTATGTAGAATAATATTTTTTATTATTGTAATATATCTAAGAGATTTAAGGGATTATTCTTAGGTTGAACTAATACTATATGTTATTATATGGTTATTATTCCATCTATATATTTAAAGTTTTTAACAATAATATTTTTCTAA